AGTCAGAAAGTTTACAGCTACAAACTCACGCACAAAATACAAACATTTTACTGTACACTGAACAGCACTCACACGCACACACACATCCACACACACACAATATATTACACCCACACGCGCACACAAACACACAAAAGATGCACAGGCTTGTGCATATTCACATTAATTTACAGTAGTATAATACATGACAGTGGGATGCTCTGACTATATGAGCAGTAACACCTAGAACGTTATTGTTGGTAAACAGAGAAAGGCAGATGCAGCTGATTATTGAGCTGCTTTTTCTTTTTTCAAGAGAAATAGTACATTACATACATACTAAAAGGTATGGCAAGCAGTTCGAAGGAAAATAAATTACCATGAGAAAAACAACAAAGTGGAAATTTCTGCAGAGGGAGTGTGCACAGCCAGTCTGCGGTTTAAAGAAACACTTTGTGTAAAATGAGATTACAAAGCTCAAAAAGCTTAGGTTGCAACGCAAATATTTATACATTCGGGCAGAAGACATATATTGTCACAGTTTGGGGAAATATGCTCATCAGAATTCTTTGTATTTATTTATTTATTTTCCTTTTTTTCTTTGTTTTTTTTTTGCAAAAGACTTTAAAGAGACATTCCCCGTACAAGTTTTTCATTATTTTCTCCTGGATTTGTGAAGTTACACAAATATTTTTGTAATTGAAATACTTCCCCATCATTCCATAACTGTGCCAAATGATGTGGCATCCTTTTGGTGCCTAAGCCAGACAACTTGAAAGTCACAAAAGAACTCAGTAAAGAAAGGGTCACACGTGGGAGTCGAACCCTCGACTCCTGGATGAAAGTCTTGTGGATTGCAGACTTCATCAATCATTTAAATAAGAATGTCTCTTCCCGGAGAGCTTGAAATGCAACTGAAAAGAACTTGCAGTTTTAAGGGAATATATTTTTCCCAGTGAAAGCAAACTCAAATGTGTTTTCAGCTAAGCGCTAACATTAGCGATTTAATAACGACCCCAAATTATGAGGCTAACTTGCTCATCAGGTATGATAGATGTTCACGGTTTAGTTTAGGTAGCACGCAGCAACGAAGTACAGCTGAGGCTGATGTGAATTACTGCTGTTTCTCACTTATTTGGTTATGAAGAATCGGACAAATTAATCTAATGCTTTAAATGTAGCAATATCACTACACAAAATACAACTCATCCCGAGGGGAACGTGAACCAAATTTCATTGTGATCCGCCCAATTCACGTAAATAGCAGTTTCTGGTAACCCATAGTTTTGAATATGTCACAGGGGGGCAAGAGGAAAAATCAGAGGACCACCAAAGTCAGCAGACTTTATCTGTTTGGGCCTATTAATTTCTGCTGAGCATCCCAGAAAACCCCTTTCTGCCCTTGCAGTGTGCACAGCCACAGCGAGGTCAGCCTTATGAATCGCTGTGAACGACTGGGCGCGAGGAGCAAAGCAGGTGGAAAAGAGGAAAAGCCCATTACTTCCACAGCTCCGGCATAAATAGTTTGCTGAAAGCCCACAACAAAACAGTGCGGGGGTCTTTTATGTAAAGAATAGGCGCCAATATATCCTTATGAGATGCAAGTTCAAAACTGCTGGAGAGAGGAGTGCTTCTAACGCAGAACAATTGCTTGCCTTCAAACTCTGAGTGAAAAAGAGACGGTGGAAATGCGGACTGGAAGCAGAGTGAGCAGTTCAGAGAGGCTGTGGGCATTAGGAGAAGAAGGAGGACAGCTGGGTAGAGCGGAGAGGGAGAGAGAGAGACAAAAAGAGAACGAGTAATCTCTCCACACCCAGCCTCATTTTTATTCAAACACAAGTCGAGCTTTGCCTTTGCTCCTCCACCCCTCTTCCCCACCCCGCTTCTCTCTTCTTCTGCTAATCCTTCCCCTTCCCTTCTTTCCCCTTCTATTACCTATTCCCTTTTACCTTTTCCTCCCCTCTCTTCATAACTCTCACGCTCTCATCTGGTGCCTCACCTACAGTATCTATTACACCAGAGAAAAAGCAGAGGAGAAAGAAAAGCAGCCCAGTCTGACCAGCTTTCAAAAGAAAAAAAGAAAATCTGCAATTAAAAGATAAATCCACCCTAAAGCACTTAGAGGAGACTCACCCTGCATTTCTGGGCCTACTTTGTTGTTTAGGTGTCTACTTTTCTCATTTTTGTGCGTAAGTGGCTAAATATAGTGTGACGGCTACAGTGGAGTCTGAAAGGCAATTTTATCTTAAAGATCTTGCGGTAAATGTCGGGTTTTGATGACAGTTCTGCAGAATAACAGAATGAGGGCTTTTGTCATGTGTGCCTTACAGCAGCACTTACAGCGAGCAGAGCACAATGCATTGCAGCTGCACCAGACGTGGAGTTTTCGCAAACGAGATGGGACGTGGTCACGGATACGTTCACGTGCTCCCAAAACGATCAGGTGCCGCTTTATGTGCAGGCGTGCAAATGTCAACACGACACAAAAGCCCTGTGCAAAATGTATAAATGACAAGTGGCATATCACGTTAAAACAAAAGCAGTTCCAGGTCTGTGTTTTCGTACTTGGTATGCAAAAAAACTGAAGACGAAGAAAAGAATCAAAAAGAGAGTGTGGGTCTGTATTTTCACCAGAGACTTCCTGTCTCTCTGCACACACAAACACAAACACATACGGGCATGCATAGTGGTTCACCATCATCTCAGGTGCCAGTAGCATGAAAAGAAGCGCTGCTGTGCAAGAGCGAAGGCAGGGAGTAGTGCTTAGGAGTGTTAACATTGCCTCTGTGTACTCGAGCCAACTGATATGATGAACACTTATTACACTACTGTGCTAATAAATTAGGCATTGAAAAGTAGTCTGAATACGAGGCTGCAGCATGACTGCAGCAGCCAGCATCAGCAAACTCTGCATGCAGAAGGAAAACTAGTCACACGATAACAGGATAACAAGCACTGAGTTTGCTGACTGACTCTGATACAAGTCTTACAGCAGTCCTAAAGTTCCCAATTGGTGTCTTTGGCAATCTTCTGCACATAGGAAGCATCTCAGGCAGTGAGGATGTCTGCTGGCATCAGCAGCAGCCAACAGGTCTGTTATACACAGTTAAAGATGGACGACCACGTCGTCTTTAAACTTTAAATTGAAAACTGGACTGCGTTTGTAAAAAAATGGGGAAAATAATGGGCGAATGTTGCATACACCACTTATACACTGCTCCAAAAATTAAAGGAACGCTTTAAAACACAGCAGATATCAATAGGAGAAATATCATGCTGCATATCTATACTGATATGGACTGGGTAATGTGTTAGAAATGAAAGGATGCCACATCATTTCATGGGAATGAAAATGATCAACCTGCAGAGGGCTGGATTGAAGAATACAACTGACATGAAATTATGATGTGGAAAGCTGGTCTGCTTTGCAAAACTGTCATTTTGCTGACTCAAAATGGTACTCAGCAGTTTGTTTGGCCCCGTCTGCTTTGTATGCTTGCCTGAAATTGTTGGCGCATGCTGCTAATGAGAAGACGGATGGTGTACTGAAGGGACCTCCTCCCAGACCTGGACCAGGGCGTAGCTGAGCTCCTGGACAGTCTGAAGTGCAACCTTGTAGCATCAGCTGAACTGAAAAATTATGTCCCAGAGTTTGTCTGTTGGATTTAGGTCAGGTTATCATGCCGGCAGCAGTGACACTGACCCCAGCCAAATGCAAAACTAGTAAAAAAAAAAATCCAGAAAGATAAGGAGGGAGAAAACTATCCCTGTTTTGGGGGTTGTCTTACTGTTGCCCCTCTAGTCCACCTGTTAGTCTCATCAACACCAAAGTAGCTGAAACTGATTAAGAACCCCCTCTACTACTTAACTGGCCAGATTAATAGCCCAGAAGTTTAATGGTCTTGATGCTACACTCTGATTAAAAAGTAGTCCTTCAATTTTTTTGAGCAGTGTACAGCAGTGACAATGTAGCCACACAAAAAAGCATACCCAACTTGATGATCCAAGTAGCTCTAAATGTCACAATAATTTAGTAAATGAACATTGCATTATATTAAATAAGACAGTTTAAGGTACTTTGGCACTGCCTCCACTTTTTATACCCAGTGCCTACCTCTATGTTGTATACACAGTCTGTGGTTTGTAGTAATGACCAGCAAAGTCACACATACAGCCATGGCAAGCATAGAGGGGAAAACAAGTCACCATCTGCTCTGCTTCAAACAAGCCATCACACAGGACTCAACAGAGTTCAAAACCCTGTTTAAGGTTATTCTTCCATTTTTAACACTGGCTAGATTCTCAGCACGTAAAATGCTGAGTGGGAGAAGTGTGTGACCCAATGTGCAAGCGTATGACTTGGCAGTGAAGCGTGGTTGGTCCTGGTACGAATCAAACTCTGAGCACAAGATGAGTTCATTTCGTTTCTGCCAGCAGTGTCCCCAGATAGGGCACCTTTAACTGGTTCACACTGACAAGAAATGATCCCATCCGCAGAGCGACGTACGCCAACCAGACTGGGTCTTCTAAATGTCAGCGCTAATTAAACTTCACACGAACACGTATAAAATATCTCCCTCGTCCTGTCTTACACTTATTTTCTGCCGTGCTTTCAGAGCTACTTTGCCACCATCCACGATTAGTTTTCATTTTTAGCAAGCTGTCACTATGCTTCTTCGCTTCTTTGTGCATGCATGCCGATTTTTTTTTTTTGACTATACTCTCTCTTGTTGCTTTTCCAGCAGGCGCACACTCTTCAGACTAGAATTAGTTTCTAATGTGGAACTGGGACACAGCGAGTGTCTTAGGCAAACTTTTCATCTTCAAACTTTTAAAAAGTTGACAGTGAGTGGGAGATATTTTTTTTCATCATTTTATTTTACCATCACATTTCATTGTCTTTGTTTAGTTTAGCTCGGCTCACTTGTGTGTGTGTGTGTGTGTGTGTGTGTGTGTGTGTGTGTGTGTGTGTGTGTGTGTGTGTG